CATGTGCGTGTCCGTGGTCATGTGCGTGTCCGTGGTCATGTGCGTGATCATGTCCATGCTCATCTTCATTCTGAGGTAGGTTGGCCTTGGCGCTCCATTTGCTGGCTCCATGAAACATCTTCTGATGGCCATGTGAGTGCTCATCATCCCCTCCATGCGAGTGGCCATGGTGATGGTGGCCATGCCCGTGGTCACCGTGGGAATGGCTGTGAGCCTCTACTAACAGCAGGACAGCAGATGTGGCCAATATTAGTGTTGACAGATGTAAAAAGCCCATATTAGATCCTGTAAGAAAGATGAGAAACAAAATGGGTTTTTTTGTTTGTTTGTTTTTTTTATCTCTGAATTTCAAATAACTTTATAAGCTTTGCAGAGTTTGACATATGAACAGGATAAGTAATTCTGGAATAAAATGATTAGGGTCTTCAAGTTAGATTCAAATCTTGATGTGTTGTCAGAGGCCTAGAGGTATAATGGATAAATTCAACAACACAGCAAGAGTTATCTATTTGTTCACAGCCAGTGCTTCTGAATTTGTCTTTTTAATTTCTTTCTTTAAAAGCAGTGAACTGTATAACTTTCTACACTGCGGTTGATGTCATATTAACTACAGTTTGGGGGTTGAATAAGCTATTTTTTTTTTTTTACAGAATTCTGCAACTTGGCTCCATGAAAACCAAACATTATAATATATTTGAACAAATCCCCCATAAGCTTTAACATTAGAGGAGTCCTGAACAGATATTAAAATTGCCAAAAACTAATACCTGATCATATCGCCTGGCCTCTTAAACCTCCACTATTTTCATGCTGATAAGAACAGCACTTATGTTTAATAATTCTGCAATTACTTGGTTAATTTTACATGGGTCAGTTATTCTCATACCTTTTATTGTTGACTTTTTTTCTCCGTTTTATTAACATCACTTGATTAAGCCTTTTCTAACATACTACAGTAAAAAATAAGTAATAAAAGTATGTATGATTCATGCTTATTGTATCTGTTTAATATCGATATCAGCCAATTCTTAAAGCTGCAATATCGGAAACGTATTGGTAATTAAAAAGTTGTATTTGGAGATTTGTAGTTAAGATCTCTACACATCCTTCTGGCGCCCCAAAAGAGAAGCTAATACAGGGATTAAAATCTGAGTTTCTACATACACAAATAGCGCAAACTACAAAATGGTCCTTTATTTTGCAGTATAGAACCAATAAGGGATTTTTATTTTTATTTTATTAATACCAGATTCATGTCTGTCCCAAATACATCAGAACTAAATCTAAATATAGAATCTCCATTTATACATCGACAATGTTTGAATCTATTTTAAGTTCTACACTGTATATTAAATGGGAAAGGCAGCTATTCTTCATCTCTTATTACATTTGGCCAAAACTTATGTCACTACTTGATTTCGGTCAATAAAATAAAATTGTGATATTGTTATCAACAATATATAAGCCTCAGAAAATTTGCCAAGAACCCGCACGATAGGATTCTGTCCAATCTTCTGAATGTTATTAAGCAAAGTCAATGAAACATAAACTTCAGAAAAGACTGGAAAAATATTGCTTTGAGTCACAAGACCAACAGATGGAATGCACATTTAGCCATATACCTCAGTTTATGAATTTTCACCTCTTCCGGTTTCTTTGTCATCACCTCCTTTGTTTTTTTCCTGATTATCTGGTAGCTGAGATATTGAATACATTTCTAAAGAAGTTCCTCACTTTAATGAAACACTGACAGCTGACTGCCCACATGTTGCTACTTACTTTATGTGTTATTCACTTTTTTTCTGGAATAGTGTAAACCCTTAACCTTATCTAAAGGTATAATGGGGGATTTTCAAGAATTTTGGAAAAAAACACGCCCTCTCCACTTAAAAAAAGAAAAACAAAATGCACATGCATAACCCTGTACCTGTATATATATATAAAATTGCTTGAAAATACAATTTTTCAGTTCATAACAATTTTATAACATGTTAGAAAAAATATAAACATCTAATTTGCTTTATTGTCATTTTATTATGAACAAACACATGATCAAATCCATGTGATTATATTGAAACTCACATGTCAAACCGACCATCAAAATGAAGCAGATTAGTATTTTATAGATGTGCAGTCCTTTTAATTATTCATTTAATTAATCAATATCAAACATATTTCAAATTTGAACTTCCAGTTGTATTTAAAGTTCCAATAACAAGGAAGTTATCCAATGTATTTAACATTTTAGACAATAAAGAGTAACTGTACAGCTATTTGACTAGTAGCTGGTTACTGTGATTCAAACAGAGCACCTTTAGGTGCTATAGTGCTGCAGCCATGTGGTAGATCAAACTACATCACTGTGCATTAACTAAGTGGTGCTTTATTGTAGTTTCCTCTTGGTTTTATATATTGGGTATACAGCTCCCCTTAGTTTCATATATGAAAGGTGGCAAAATTATGCATAAAGCAAAGATCTTTATCAAAAGGCTTTTCCAATCAGATCGGTTTCCCCTCATGTCTGAAGTTCAACATTTAACACGTTAATTTAAGCTTTAAAATAATTAAAAACAGAAGTAAAGGACATAGCTGTATTTAGTTATCTTTAACACTGATTATCTCGGTAAATAACGACACAATGGTGAATAAAACAGAAGGATGTACGCATAAAACAAATCCTGACGTTGAAATTAATGGGCTGCCTGCTTGAATCTAGTGTAGCAAACTGTGTTTTCATTGTTTATTTTCTTTGGGGCTAAAGCAAATAATCGCTTTGATTCCCTGAGAAAGCAAGACACCTGTCAGCTCGCAAGAACGAGTATAATCCGACCACCAAACAAAGAGCACAGGTTTCTACAGGCTGTTTACAGAGCCTGCACTAGAGTTAGCTAGCAGGCTAGCAATGAGTGGCTGTGCTAGCAACTGTAGCAACATTATCATCGTTACAAACAGCAAAAACACAATTAAAAACAGTCGACTTAGACTTACCAAACAGTGTCCGATAACTCGGGCTGTTCTTTCACTAAATAAAGTTGTTCCTGAGAGAGAAAAGTGCTGTTAGTTGGGTCTGCGATGATGCTGCTTGGCAGACGTGGCATTTGCTTTCCTCCTCAAATCTCGCGGGGACACGTTCCGTTTGAACTCGGTTTCCGCCTGTGCTTATTTTAGAGCAGGAATTAGATATATGGTTATATGTTGAAAAGGAAAAAACTATCAAGCAAATGTCAGAGACTAAAGTTTACATTAATAAAATATTAAACATCCTGACTCTGAGATAAAAAAGGAAGAAACATATTGAGTGCTCAAGAGAAATATCGCGAGATTAGAATAAACACCAGCTGATGCGAAGCATCCTGGAGGACAGGATATAGTTCCGTTTTGCTGGCTGAAGTTTTGCATCGGATTCAAGTTGCATCAGTTAGAGTCTTTGCAGGCACGGTGCCATGCTAGGTCATGCCATATTGAAATAAGTGGTCATGTTAACGCGTAATTGCGCATGCATAAAAGTGTATTTGTTCTTGTCCCATTTCAGCATCCATACCTTTCCATACAGCCTGAATTTTCTATACCGCGCATCTAGGAACATTTGTTAACACTGGGAAATACAGCCATAAATATCCCCGCGATCAACAGACTATGGGAAATTCTTAGAAATAAATTCATGTGATATTTGGATGAAAAAAGGGGGAAATGAACAGTGCAATAAGTAGCTTTACATCAAGTAGCTCAGTCACTTTCTTTTTGGCTCCTGAAATTTTATTTTTATTAAAACTATGCACAACATATTCAAGCCAATGATCTCTATAATAATAATGTTTGACTGTTAATTATGTAAAAGTTGTAAGTAAAACTTAAATATTATAATTTATTTGCTCAAAAACTGTGAGGTAATCGGTTTCCACAAAAAAATTGAATTTTCTGAAATTAAACATGAGCAGAAACTTATGAATTAATTCACTGATCTCTGGAGGGGCCTATTGAAGTCCTCCTTTTTTTTCTTTTCCTCCTTTTTTATTTGTTTTTTATTTTTCCTACTTGCTTTGATTCAATGTTTTATCTTCCTGTATTTTAATCATGTAAAGCACTTTGCATTGTCTTTGTACTGAATTGTGCTATACAAATAAATTTGCCTTAAATTTGCCTTGCCTCCTTTTTTTTCTTTATCACAATCCGATTCATGCTCAGTGAAATCAGTTGCGTTTTATGCCTCCACTCATCTTCCTTCCTTAGGGAAATGTATTGACATAGCAACAATATGACATACAGCTAATTTTTTTTTATCTTTTTATTTATTTATTTTTTTAAACATTTTTGTGTATCCCAGGAAGAAGAAAAAAAATCTATTATATAGGCCTATAAGTAATCCTAATTTAAAAAATGAGATGAGATAGCAGGTGCCCCTCCTATCGAGTCACTTTGCGGCTGCACAGTTAGTACAGCATTTACGGTAGCGCTGCTGCACATAGGTGCCCAACATAAACTGCAATCTGTAGATTATGGGGGATTACAATGGCAGCAAATGAAACAGCGCTTAGTTTATATATTTCCGTTAAAATGATTCTCTCTCTGTTAAGTTTGAGAAAGAAAATGAAGGCTACGTTTTAGACACAAAAATGTTAAATTCTGTTTTGGATTTACAAGGGGACACAAATGAAGCCAAACATTTTTCATTTTTCATTTTTAGTGGAGGTAGAACATAGCAGAAGTGTGTTTGCAAAATAAAAATAAAAATATTTGATAATGAACGTCAAAGACCGAAGCGTTTCCAAAAGCTGTTGTAAAAACAAAGGACACGCCCCCTCCAAGCAAGTTGTTTATGCTTTGAGACTGGGTTGCTGGCTGCCATCGTAACCTGTTTATGATCCCCGTAAAATGCTCTGTCTAAAAAAGATGAAGACTTTCTTTGCCCTGCTTTACTTTTTTCAATTTGCATATTCAGGTAAGACTTTGTTTTAAATAGTTGGTTTTAAATAGTAGCTAGATATTGCAACGAACTGATAGTTTCATTTTCTAAATAAGCCCTTTTCTTTGTTCTTTCATCTCCTTTTTACACTGACAGCTCCAATGCCAGTTTTGTTACTTATATTTGTTTTTGTGCTTCTATCCTCTATTATATTTTACTTTTCAGGACTTTAATCTCCTTGATATGTGCTTCAATATGTCATGATAATGTGCTCAAATTCCTGAGCAACATCTTAAGTATTTTACCACCGCATGTATTTCATAGACAGCCTACTTGCTCTCAGAGGTGGTTTGGGTTAACAACATTTGTACACACAATTAGCATGCTGATTTAAGCAAAAGTAAAATGTAATTATTAAAAAAAAATACTTCAGTAACTGGAAGAAAAAAAAAGAGTTTTAAGCAGTAACTCTTTGATAAGCTGATTTGGATTTTATCAGATAAATAAAAAAGGAAGCTGTTTGCTCATTTGGATATTGTTATGAATTCTTTAAAAAGTGGTTAAAAATGAAAATTATTTCAAGAATATTTTCAAGTATTCCACAAATACAAAGCACTTTTTTTCAGCAGACTGAGAGTGTTTTGAAATAAAATCATGCAGTCAACTTGAATTAGTTTTATCATTTTGTCATTTTGATAAAATGACACATCAGACTGATCCATTAAGCTATATCGAACCAAGCTCTATTCCATTTACAGCTTGGTCGTCAGATAAAAAGTAAATTTTGAGAACAGCTGTATTTAAGCAGGTGTATATCTTTTAAAATATTTCTTTCTATTGGTCAGATTTCATATTCCTGTTTTAAAAGCGAGGCTCCTCAGTGATGCAGTGGGTAGCACTTGTGTGAAGCCCTTGCAGCAAGAAGGTTCTGGGTGCAAATCCCGGCCCAGCGTCTTTATGCATGGAGCCTGCATGTTGTCCCTGAGCATGCATGGGTTCTCTCCAGGTACTCTGGCTTCCGCCCACAGTCCAAAAACATGGCTGTTAGGTTAATTGGTTTCTCTTAATTGTCCTTAGCTGGGAGTGTGGGGCTGGGAGTGTTTGTGTGATGGACTGGGGACCTGTCCAGGGTGTACCACGCCTCTCTCCCACAGACAACTGGAGATAGGCACCAGCACCCCTTGTGACCCCACTTGGGATAAGCGTGACAGCAAATGGATGGATGTTTTAAATGTTATGTTTTTATTATGAGTGGAAAGTCTTCAGCAGTAGAATGATTCATACAAATCAAAGCTTGAAAGTATCTGTCTGTTACTGATGAATCCATAGAATGTATCTCATTTAGTGACTTTAATTAGTGAATTTAATTAACTTTTATGTAATTTCCATTTTTATATAAGGGAAAGTATAGGTAACAATTTAAAACAACAACTAAATATGCTAATTTCTACCCTTCAGTGAAGCATTCCCTGCGATATTTCCTTACTGCTACCTACGGAGTCCCAGGCTTTCCAGAGTTTGTTGGGGCTGCAACAGTAAATGAAATTCAGGTGGGATATTGCGACAGCAACATCCAGACCGCCAAGCCCAAACAAGACTGGATGATGAAACTGATTGAAAAGGATCCCAACCACCTGGAGTGGTATACTCGAAAGTGTTTTAGAAGTCAGCATGCATTTAGAGAAAACGTGAATAGCTTGAAGCAACGTTTAAACCTCACTGAAGGTAAGGAGCTTTTCAATAAACATGTTTTCTTCACCTATATTGGCTTTAGGTTTCAGTATAAAATGCTTGCCATATTTCCTATAAATGATAAAGAATAGTGCAAGGCCCTAATGGGTTTTGAGTTAAAAACATCAACAAATTAGAAAGCAACAACTCATAGATTTCCTAATGCTCTGTTGTTTTTTAAAAATGTCCTGTTAATCTGTTTTTACCTCATGTTACTTCTAAAACTATAGATTTGAGTTATATTTTCTGCCAAGTAATTCATTCAAAATATTTGGTGTCCAGTTAACTTTGATATATATCCGTAACAGTTCAATTTGTTCACATTAAGTGCAGTTGTTTTTGTCTGATGCAATCGTTTATTTGCAGCTACAAGCAAAATAAGAGCGTTGATGAAGCCATTATATTATTACTTTCTGAAAAACTTCCAAACTCTGCAGTCCACTAAGTAATCCATCAGATTTATTTCCAGTACAACTGATTGAATTTACATGTATTTTGTCTTCCAATATGATGCCAACTCTACAGCAGGACCTGTTAAGCCCTTGTCACACCTTGACGTCCCAAAATCTTCTAAAACGGTGGCATACGCTGAACTTTCAATGTCTTTTTTCAATTTTGGGTGTATACATAGAGTATTTGTTATACTTATGTTCTTATACTTCTGTCTAAAGACAGCATAACTTATTCCTAACACACGGCAGCATATTTCCCATAAAATGATGCAGAAGCCAGTGACGTGAGTGGGGCAGCAAATCACCCGGAGGCGTCCAGCCTGCATAAAAAGATGTCTTTGATCACGATATTAACCTAACTGCTGTTTACTGCCCGCCAAAAAAAAAAAAGAATAAATAAATGAATAAATACAAAGAAGAAGAAAGAGAGAAGGTCTGCAGTCGCAGCAGATTCAGCATCATGTCTGCTAGCAAGTTCGTTGGCCGTGGCCGGGGGCGTGAACGCAGGGAGGATCCATCACTCTTACCTTTTTGCTCACCCTATGATGGGGATAAAGTCTGGAGGAGGATGGACGGTTTCCTCCAGTGAACCCACTTTTATACCAAAACAATGCCAATATGTCATTATACAGTAGCTGTAACTTAGAAAGACGTCAGACACGTTGATATGCGTTGAAGATAAGCCCTTGATAAGTTACGCATAGGTTATGCACAAGTTACTCATAGGTTTTAGATAAGCTAGACGCCATGACTTATGAGTAACTGACACTTAACGTATATCAACCATCAGATAACTTAGCTGGAACTTATGGCCTATAAATGAGCATACCCTGGCATACCTTCTTGCTGTATGTCAACATGTGCCAGCATGAGTCACTATGCTTTAGAGTACTTCAGCATGCTCATAATTTATAAAAAGTTATCCAACTTATCCCAGTTTTTGCCAGATTTTTCGTACGTCAGCCTGGCTAAATTGTCAAGGTGTGGCTGAGGCTTTATGAACTGAAAATAAACACATAAGAATGAATTACAGATTAGCATCATTTTGTGAACAGCATAGGATTTTAAAAGCATAGTGAAACAAATAGCATGTTCCAGGTAAAACTAAAAGAATAACATTTATTAATCATTTTATGGTGTAATGTGACTCTCA